TGAAATAAGAAAAATTTTAAATAGATTTTTTATTTTCAAATTTTATTTCTTTTTTATTTTTAAATAAAAATCAATAAAAAATGAAATAAAATTTGAAAAAAATCTACTTTTCTAAATAGATTTTAAATTATTATTAATATTATTTTTATTTTTGAATTTATTAATTAAATTTTTTACTTTCAACTTTTTTATTAAATTTTTTAATTTTTAAATTTATTTTTTGTATTTTATTTTATTAAAAGTGTTCGTAGAGTTAGGAAAATTTATTAAGGTCCAAAAAAAGAAGAAAGAAACAAAGTGTTGTTTTTATTAAATGCAAAAAGGGACAAACCCAGTAAAGGCCACAGTACTGTAGTTAATTAACTACAAGAAGCAGTTGATTAATTATCAGCCAAAAAAAAAAAAAAAAAAAAAAGAATAGCTTGAAACATAACATGTTTTTGTGACTTCTGTGTTGAAAGAAGCTGCATATGCAATGTCTTTTGATTGCACACTTGTTAACAGATGCACACACACACACACACACACACAGAGTTTCATAAAGGTTTACATGAGGTTTAATGTACCCTTTAAACTGCCGCATTGTTACTGTTACTGTTGTTGAATGAAACGCAGCATCACGTCCACATGACGACCTGACGCTCTCTGGTCGTCATGTTTTCAGCCACACTGACCAGGGGTTCCCCTGATAGTCTGCGTGTCGTCGTTGTAACGTGCACGTGCACACCGAGCGGATGGAATGGAATGGAAATCTGACCAGGGATTCTCCTGTCTGCTCAGGTTTTGCATCAGTGCAGTGAGTTTTAGAGGAAAACGCTTGTCGATGCTGCCGTTTCTGATGTTTCTGCTGAAAGCCCACAGACCACAGATGTGCACAACCACACACACACACACACACACACACACACACATCAACTGACACACACAGTATAAGGTGCACAGACTGGGATACTTGACTGCATTATATAAAGACCAACAGGTCAGCACAGACTTCACATTCTCCAACTCTTCCAGAATTCTCGCTGTTTCGCCTCCTTGGCTCCGGCACACACCGTCCGTCCGTCCGTCCGTCCGTCCGTCTGTCGCCATGTCTTTGTGCTGGAGCTCATTGGTTCTGCTGCTGGGAGCTGTTCTGACATCTGGAAGTCCTCTTCACTCCAAGCCTGATGACATCGAAAAACTCCTAAAGGTCGTCAACCATCGGCTGGTGAGTCTTCTTGTGGCGTTCCGCAGGGCACGATTTTAGAACCCGCGTCGTTTGACTTCCACCTTTGTTTTTGACTTAAACCTGTGCGTTGAAGGAGGCATTTGTGACATTTTGAAGGAGTTTTGTCCCAGAATGACTCATGACTCAGAGCATGACTTATAATACAACATATTGTGTGTGAAATTGCGTGTGAAAATGCAGCATTTGAATATTTGATTTTATATTTGACTTTGATGACTGATGCTGCCTGTTGATCCAACTTTCAGCCTCATGTGTTTTATCATTTAATGAATGACGTTTTAATGGTATTTTTTTTGTCATTTTTTTCTCTGCATCATTTAACATTGAGATAAATATAGTTGTACAAAGTCTGCGTTACAGCCTTTAGTCCATGTTTTGGAGCAAAACGACAACAGCAAGATGTATTTTATAATCACTGTTATGTAGAGAAACCCTCATGACTTTTTGTAATTACTTACCTTTTGTTGCATGGCTAACACATCAGTGACATAATATTTGTATTTATTAATTACCACTTGTGTTTCAGAGGTTAACGGAGCCGGAGGTCGGAATCAAATCTCTTTTTACACCTGTCATCAGTAGCATCAACACGTCATGTCAGGTAAAAACTAAAAAATCTTGACATTTTGGTAACCACATCATTTAAGGTTGTATTCATTTTCTAACAGTTTTATGACTAAACCCAAACTAAATCCTACAGAGCAGCAACTGGTCGGCCGGTACTAGCCGTTACTGCGGACCGGTAGCACCGTGCCGATTGTTGGAGGATCGTTATATTTTCAAAATAAAACATCTTTCAGACTTTTTCTGTAGTTCCATTGTATAGCGGTTAGCACGCCTGCCTCAAAAGCAGAGAGCAGAGAGTCTTGGGTTTGATTCCCAGAGGAACCACATGCTTGGCGCTTGCTAGGGGCAGCCTGTTAACAGCGTATCTGATGCTAACACAACAGTTTCCTAAATATGGGATCAATATAGTATGATTTTTTTTTATTCTGTTAGTATCTGGATGACAACTTATTGTGAAACATTGCCAGATTATCTTCGAATGAGGAAAGTAAAGGGATATAACCGACAGACTGGTACCAGTCCACGGACCTGGGGTTGGGACCCCTGCCATAGAGAACATCACTTAGTTTTATTTTAGCACGCATGTAGGTACACAGGGTGTACTGCCTCCTGTGGTCAGTTTATGTCGCTACGGTAAATCTGAACATGCAGCAGTGAATAAGCACCTGCTTTAGTGCCCGCTATCGTCTAGATGCACAGTAATTTTCTGAGGGAATCGTAATCGGCACCGAAAGAAGGAAGCAGTGTGTTTGGTGTGTTGTACTTTATATCTCAAACTTTGTCTCCTTCACAGAGAAAAGCAGACATCCAGCTGATGAACGCCACCCTGGACGTCTACACTCGCATGCTGTCCAGCATCCTGCAGCAGCACCACGGCGGACCGGAGGCCTCGCGGCTGCTCGACACGGTGCCCAGCCAGAACCGCAGCAAGGTGGAAGAGGCGGTGAGGAATCTGCAGCAGGAGATGAAAGAGCTGCAGAGGAACCTGAACCAGGAGCATCACAGCAGGGAGGAGATGATGCTAGAGCTGAGCAAAATCAGGGTGAGTGCAACTCAAGACCAATTCTGATACAACTCTGCGGAATGCTTTTCACTGGTAAACTACTCGTATTAAGCTAGCCAAATGGAAACGTACAATGACGTATCCTGGTAACAAGTGCCCGTCGAAGTGAACTAATATATATATATAGTAATCTATCATCACTCCCTAACACCAGCATCAAACACACAGGAGTCATTTTTAACAAAAGTTTATTTTTTTTTGGTTCCACAGGGTATGATTTCAGATACTGTGTCATTTTGATTCCACCTTTTTTTTAATTTCGTCCCTAAACTTTCAATTTACTCTTTTAAACTTCAACTTGATCATAGTGTTAAGTCACATGATATCAAATATACAGTATATCTATAATATATTTAAGGTTTACGGCGATGGTTTCCACAGTGGGGGGCATGGCCCCTGGGGGGGCACAGTGCCATTGCAATGGAGATGCGTAACGCAGCATATTATCCAATGCTAAAAATGTTTTACAAGAGTCTGGCAAAAACTGATTGGTTGAAGGCGGAGTAAAATGAATATCTGATCATAATATTGCGAAGGAGGCTGTTATTTTTAATTCTCTCTCTAGTTTTTTTTTTAGTTTTTACCGTCGCCTGTTCGATCTGCTCGGACACGTTTAAAGTGCATAAAAACAGTTTTAAAATGTGTGTGAAAACAAGAGAGTTTGAAAACAAAATATGTGTGCGTGTCCTGTTTCTCTTGGGGTGGGAAGCGTGAAGATTTTCTTTTGAACCAAAGGGGGGCGCTGAGATGAGAAAGTTTGGGAAGATTTTGAAGGAGGTTTTGTCTCTGAATTGTCCCAAAAGACTCATGTCATTGTATATATCAATTCTTTTCCTCAGGTCGATGACCCCCTGCACCAGAGACGGGCCCTGGCCGATTTTCGGATGGTTCACAATACTGCTTCTGTGATTGGCTCCCACTGTGGTTGACCTGCCCACTAACACTGTCCAAATGTTCTCTTCACAAACGAACACTGGTCGATTACTCTAGATAATTTATTGAACGACATTATCTTGTTCTTTTACCAGTTTCTTTCTTTTTTTTTAAATATATATTTATAGTTTACCTTAGGTCATAGGTTCACACACCTGAAATGTATTTAATGCTATCATAATTTAACGTTATTTATGACAATTTAATTTACTTTATTTATTTTTTTCATCTTACTGGAGTTAACCTGATGTTATAAAAGTGAATATTCCATCCACAATAAAAATGAGAGTTTCAGTCCAAATGAGTTTTCATGGCTTTTTTTTATTGGATACAGTTGACGATGTTTTCAGTTTTGTTAGCGTCCTTATTTGTCCCCGAATGGAGAAATTGCAGGGTTTTAAAAAAATCACTGGACTACACAAAACAGAACTGGATGATGTAATGTTCAAACTGACATAGTTTATTTAATCGGAACTACGCTAACTACGCTAACTACGTTAAGCCCCGATGATACAGTATGTGTTCTCCGTTCAACATGTAGTCATGCAATCTGATGTAAGCAACCAAATTATCATTAGCATAAAATATCTAATATAATCTAACCATATTTAGATTAGATTATAAATCTTCTTCCTCTAGGGGTGGATAGAGCTAGTCATTGGTTTCCATCTAGCTCTTACACTTTCTTTTCACCTCCTACTTGATCTCATCTGTCACCGCTGTGAACAAATATTGTCTCCGAGCTGATCTTTGATGCAATCCGAACACCTAGCGTGCACCCATCAGTAACATAGACTGCGCAAACCCTATCTGAATGGCTTTATAAATGACCCGCACCGCCACCACATACTTCTTTGCCACTCCTGACAATCTCATATAGTAGCAAAATTCCAACCAGGCAACCTATCGTATGCATTATCTAAATTAAAAAAGACAACTCCTTCTGACCACGTAACTTCGCTCCCAGGACTGTCCAATTGAATTGTCTCTCTCATTCCCCCCCCCCCCCCCCCCCAGCACACCTTTACACATCCTTAATGTTGAATGGTCTTTCCAGCTCTTTCACTCTTTTCTACAGGGTTAATCAGTGTCACCACGCTCACCTGTGTCTGGGGAGCCCTCGTTCATTAGTCTCACCTGTGTCACCTGGTGCACCCTGGGTATAAATACCTCCCTCCTTCACTCAGTCTTGTTTGATCATTGTCCGATGTAGACGTTAACTGTTTCATGCTCATCCGTGTTCCAAATTGTTCCTGTGTTCCTGCCCGGCCCTGGTATCCAGTAAGTGTACAAATATAAGTTTAGACTTTGAAGTACTGTATCTGGGCACCTGCTTCCTGATTTTGCTAAACGTGACGGTCACAGCAATGGCAGCAGTGATATTTGGTTATGAGAGGTCGCAAAATTGATGTTGAGTTAGCGTGTAAAATTATAGACATTATAATTTTCCTGGTGGCTCCTTTTGTGTTAGCCAATCAGAGATAAGACAAGGAGTCGCAGCCTTACACGCGAGGCCCAGTCTCAGTTGCTGATAGTCTAATGAAGTCAAGGCCTAAACCTAACCCTGATCACTATAAACCCCTAAGAGCTTGAATTCTATAATGTATTTTAAATGTGACTGAGAAATCAGTTTTCTATCCATGAAGCAGAAAAAATTGTCTTTAGTGGTTGCAGCACTGGTTTCATTGCACTGGTTTTTGCAGCTTGTTCTTGAGACAATATCTAGATGTCGTGCAGTGTCTGTTGGTTGTGGTTAATGTGGAATTAGATATAGTAGGGGTCTGCTACTGAGAGAGTTGTGCCATATCAATCAAACCTTTTCTGTTTTGTTTCAACATAACGCTGTTTCATCTAGCAACTCTTTCTCTTATTGCTCATCCAGCTAATGACATCGCAGTTTCGATTTCATAACTCTTTTTCTAAAATTCTATTTCTGCCCAACGATTTCTAAGCTTACACTTTTCTGATAAAATCTGTCCTATTTCACTTCCTGTGTACACCATTGTACAGCAGTGTGAAACTGCTCCACATCGAGTCCGTCTTCTCTCTACCACCTGGTCTTCGTCTGACTCCAGCCTCTGAGCTTCAGCAGTAATATTTCTAACCTAATGTAATCTTACCCCCCCCCATGCTATTTTTAGTCATTATTAAAATACGTGTTAATCTCGATAGTGATTTCAAGAGGGATTTCCCCTCACACACACACGAGAACTTTTTTTTTTTTTTCCTGTCCCTCTGAAAAGGTGAAGTGACGTCATGAGAGCAGAGGTTTCATTTTCATATGAAGTTTGGGAGGAGAACATGTGACATTTCCAACCTCAGAAAAACTAAAAATCCCATCTGCAATATTTCATATTATATATTCATCTCACGTTCACGTTATTTAAAAAAAAAATACAAGTATTTAGAGTTTTTTAAAATAAGATTATAGATTTGCTAGCTACCATTTTTATTTTTCAATAATCAGAGCTCAGTTAGCGGTTAGCACTGTGTGACTGATTAACCTGCAGCTGCTGATTTAAGAGTGATGACATCATTCAAATTGTTTTTTTTTCCCACTTTTGTCACACTTTTTTTTAAAAAAAATGATGACATCAATATTAATGACATTGGAATATTAATGAATTAAATTTTATTAAGTGTTTGTTCAGAATTTTTCTACACTTTCACTGGTTTATTAACAAGTAATATTGGTAAAAATGACTTTTGTTTGAAGACAGTCCCCGCTGGTCAAAATGTGAACTGCAGCAAAGACATCATTCTCGTGAGCTTTAAATATGACTCTTTAAGTGGACGGCCGTTTTTCGTGCATTTGTTTGGACTGAGCCCACAAACAAGACAGTGGAGCCATTAAGTACCTGCCTTACATACAGAAGGTCTTGAGTTTTGAGCCCTAAAGGAACCACATACTTAATGGCGCCCCTTGTGGCAGCCTGTGTGAATTCCCCCATCTTGGGGTGAATTGATTTTGGGTTGGGGGGTTTCTATGAATTGTTTTTCATAACATTAATTCTGTGAAGTTAAGGGCTGAGCCACACTCACACTCAGGTGAAAACTGTTGTTTAAAGTAAACGTGTCTTTTCAGCAGAATTTTGTGCAAAATCTTCATTGTTTGAAAACACAAATGTGTGAATTCCCTCCAGCGCTGTTAAAACCTCTTCCTGTGTGCATGCGTGTTTGAGCGGAGGGAATACCCACGGTCTTTACTGCCTGTCTGTCTGTCGGCTGTTTCCTGTCTACAATCCAGTGTTAAGAAGAAAAGCTCCAATTGTTTTTCTCTATTACAGGTATGCATTTTATTTGCAGCTCTTCTCTACTGCCCCTGATGGTGATGTTGTGAGGGCCCCAGGTTCCTCCGCCACTTAAAGTACTAAGGAGCTGATGTCTCAGGACCTGTGCGCAGAACTTGAAACCCTCAGGATCAATTAGTGATGTTGCTCCGCTCGCCTAAACATGGCAGTCTGGGGGACGAGTGGACCAACATTCAGCCCTGTCCCCTGATCTTGTACCAGAATGTTTGAAACAATCAGAAGAGAAGCCTCAAACAGAATAACGATTCTTCACACTTCCCCTTGGCCCCCGACCCCCATATTTTCAACACATCTTAATTTGCACCTGAATGCACATGACATGTGTTTAAGGTCCTTAATAGCACAGGAATAATAGACAGACAGACAGATGGACTTTTATTAATCCTTCAGGGTAGAGAATGGCTGTTTTTTTTTTTTTTTTTTGGCCCACATCTCTTGTACCTATTAGCAGTTGACAGTTGACTACCTTGAACACCATGTGGGCGTCAGAGACACTGCCACTGTGAGGTGGTTTAGGTCTGACTTATCAGGAAGAAAATTTTCCTCTTTCACACATGTGGAAAATATATAAATATATATATCATACCAAGATAAAGCCTCAGGGCTTTATCTTAAAAAAGTTGCAACCCATCTGCAACTTGAATGACCCAGAATGTTGAATATAACTGCTGTAGTTGCACTCTGATTTGGAGGTAATCTGTGTGTATATATATATGTGTGTGTATATATATATATATATATATATATATTAAAAAATATATATATATATATATATATATATATATTAAAAAATATATATATATATATATATATATATATTAAAAAATATATATATATATATATATATATATTTTTTAATATATATATATATATATATATATATTAAAAAATATATATATATATATATATATATATTTATATGTATATACAGTATATTTATATATATATGCATGTATGTACTGTATATACATATATACATATATTGCCATTTGCATGTTGGTTTATGTATGTATCTATTGATCTCTCGTTGACCACAGATACGTAAATATAAACTTTGACTGGTGTCAATAATTGCAATTAGAAAATATGTGATTCATTGCAATAAATAAATAAATGACACGGCCACTAATTAACACAAGCAGTTATTTTTCATAATCACGTCTGACCACTAATGACAAATGAGAAGTTTCGGTTTTGACTCATTTAAGACAATTAATTTTCTTTTCCCTGCAAATCAAACTTTCTCTTTCAATTTCTGCTGTCAGCTTCCTCCGTCTGTATAAACACACACGTACACATACAGTACCTTTGTGTGGTTTGAACAGAGCGGGTTAAAAATGTGAAGCGACCACCTTGTGAGATTACTTCCTGTTTGTCTTCTCTTAGTAAAACTGCTAATACTCCATCCATCCATCCATCCATTTTCATCCGCTTATCCGTTACCGGGTCACGGGGGCAGCAGTCACCATGACCTCCACCCAAATCACATTGCACCGTACCAACCCTCCAGAACCTTCCTGCAGGTGGTGAGTCCACTGGAGGGTACCAACCGCCCTAACCGGGATTCAATCTTGCCCTAGAGGTGAACCCTGGGGTTCCACACCAATGACAGAGACATTGTCTCTGGGTCAAAGCGCTACTTGTTTGATTATTGTCAGTATTAATATTTTCTGCCCTTACTTTCGTTAGCTAAAACTAATGAATGCTTGTCCTACTGGCACTTCTTGAATCTGGCGATTACAGTAGTCTACGTGTTGTACGGTGCAGGGGAAAAAAGTATAAAAAAGAAATGAAAAAATTGTCCTTTTTTTTCCTTCTATATAATTTTCTGATGTAAAAACCACTGATAACAAAAAATGAAATGCTAAGCTTTGTTTACCTAGACGAGATCGTACACAGCGTACTATTGGCTAGTACAATGCGTACTCGGTGTAGAATTGGCTAATTGAGCCTGCTGTTCTGTTTCTCGCGCTGATTGGCTCATGCATCATAGCGGGGGGTGATAACAGAGTGGGGGAGGTTCATAAAGCCTAAATACTGTATATATCTAAATAATATAACTGTCTCGCATCTACTTTGCAATTATTATTTTTTTTCCATTTTGTAGTTGGTCTTGGAACGCAACTATCACGATAGGTGAGGGATCACTGTATTTAGGACCACTCCAACAGCTAACTGTATATCTGTTCACAGTCCTTTATGATAGAGCTTGATATTAAATGTTAAATTCAGTTTTTAGGATTGAGTGATGTTTGACACTTGACATGAAAGTGAACATGAGTTATTTTTACTTTTAGGTGTATCAAAGTCTTTCTTGTCCGTTCATGCGATATTTCTCAACGTCTTCAACGTCGTAATGCAAGGACTTCGTCCAAATCAGGGGTGTCAAACTCCTTTTCACCTCATCAGTAATTCAGTTCCCCTTGAAGGGCTGGTTGTAAATGGAAGATGTACTTCATTTTTACTAATTTACTTCATTCAAAGAAAATCCAGTGATATCCATTTACTTTCTTTATTTAAAGGTAATCTGACAATATTGAATAAAACTTTCATTCAGACTCTGATCCTCACAGAACAGAAGAAGAAGAAAAGATGTTTTATTTTGAAAATGTAATGATCCTCAAATGCTCAGCACCTTGGTACCGGTCTGTAGTAACAGGTGGTACTGGCTGAGCAGTCCTTGGAACCAAAACGGTCGGGGACCACTGGTCTAGATGTAGCTACTCCATAACAGACTAATAAATGTCTGTTATGGAGTAGCAGACATTTATCTGAATAATTTTTAATCTGAATAATTTTTAATTATTCAGATTAAGAAACTCTTCTGCATGGAATTTACTATCTGCTTTTCAAGCTCCTGCGGCCACACACAACAGCTTGGTGTGGCCCTGGGCCTTGAGTTTGACACGTATGGTCCAAAGTATCAGTCACATTTTAAATAATTTCCCCAGTGCGGGATCGATAAAGTTCAACCTTAACCTTGTATCTCTAAAAGCAATTACGTATTTCAATGTCGGTCAGAGATTCGACCCACAAAGGTTAAAAGTCGCTGTTAGATTTCTTCCCCAATTATTCAAATTCAAATGAATCAACGGGAAGGCTTTTTTTTCCGAGTGCGGCTGAAACCACCTCGTTAACAATCCGCTCTGGGTTCGTCATTGTTTCTGTTCCGATATGTTTGGATCCAGTATTTTCCGACAAAGGCCCTGGTTGCCTTCCGACCAGAAACGACTACACGCCTGCTCATCCTTAGCACTTCCCTAATGGGACAATTCATTCGGAATTCCGGCCAGGATCTCCAAAGTCCTGGATTTTGGCTCTAACGGAGCCCAGGAGGTTACTGTAGTGTGACACAGACATGTAGGCGACCCCTCACCCACTTCTATGAAGTTTGATGATTTTAAAGGAAACAGCACGACCACACTTTTCACACCTAGATCATCTCTGTATCACACTCTCGCTCCCTCTCTTCGCTGTCTTTGTGTGTCTATGTCTCTCTGCCTCTTTCAGATATAAATAAAAGCTTCAATCAGTTTGAGTCAACTTTACTTCCACTCGGTGTCTAGCTCAGTCAGGCTTGTCAGGTCTTGACCCTGCCCGGTTCGTACCTCTAAGACCACGGCTGCAGCATTTTCCGGAATTGAACATCAGACCGGCAGATAGTGATACAATGGTTTCTTCAGTGAGGGCCGTGGTCTGTTTGTCTCTGTGGTTGACTGTGTGTCGGGTCAGCGCCTCGCACATCCCGGTCAGGATGAACAAAACCATCCAAAACCTGCTGTTACACTATGTAAGTATACATTTTTTTCGTCTCTTGGTAGACCTCATACTTCCGAGTATTGAACCAAAGTGACTTTTGTTTTATTATTGTCAGTGCTAATACTGTCATACTTCTGTTAACACTACTAATACTACAATATGACACTTTGCTGACATTAGTAAAACTAATGAGTGCTACCAGCACTGGTTAAGACGGGACTGAACAGGATACAATGTTAGCACTGATATTTCCTACTGTATACTAGCAGTACTCAAACTTTTAGCACTTAAATTGCTAATCTACTGTTTGGTCTTTATGCTAGCACTGAAACTGTCCCGATCTTTCTGTACTGCTTCCATGTTGATGGTGGTAGAAACTTCTAAGTTAATGGTACCAATCTTTCTACTTTTCGCACTGGCTTACTGTCAGAAGGCTATTATGCTAACTATATTGCTCATGCTAGTACACTTGCAAAACACTGATAGCACAGCTAATGTAGTGTAAGAGAGCAGTACTGTTGTATATAGCACTTACATCTCCAGTACCTGTGAGCTGCGTTAGCAGTGCTCAAACCTGTGTCTGTGCTTTGTGGTTTCTGTTTCCTTTCTTGCTTCTTTCACCATATGCATACACACCCACTCACACACATACAAAGGAGTTTTGTTTTATTTAAATAAACTTCAAGCTAGCTTGGTGGCTTGTAGGTGGAATTTAAATGTCTTGTAACTAAATGGCAGTATGAACCAATGACATCAGTGGAAACAAAATAACAAAAATAGAGAGATATTCACCTCACAGCTCATGTAACACAGGCTGCATCAGCTGGTTCTAACAATAAGTTTATTTATTGACTATAAATAAAAAAGTTAAGTGTAAACTCCGCCACTCCAAATACTTTGAGAGGTGAGTGCGCTAGTATCCGTCATAGCTCTAATGCTGCCTCTTGTGGTCATTTTGTGTCACTGACGTAACTTACTGATTGAGGCAACAATTTTTGGCTAATTACATGGCTAATTAGAACTAGCTGGTTATAGTTCATAGTAATAATAATAATAATAATGATAATATAATAATAATAATAATAATACAACTTTTTGTTTCTTTGTGTTTGTTTGTATGTTTTCAGAAAATTTCCGCTAAAGAAAAATTCAACGGCAAACCCGTCTTTTCCAGAGAACTGCTTGAGGGCAAGATGGAGGTAAAGAAAATGTTTGGTTTTTTTTGTTTTAAACTAGACTCGTGTTCACTCTTACAAACAGCTCGACCTGTTGACAAGGATGTTTTTGGGGAAACTGTTTAATAAACTACTCATTACAACACAACAAAACAGTAAAAGGAACCAAAAACCAAAAAAAGCATCAGTACCTGGTGCTTCTCTAAATCACTCTGTGATGGTCGTGTTTCTGCATAAGTAAGTTTCATTTTCCCCTCAAGCCCACTCCAAGCTTCTTAAATCTTCCCCTGTGGGCAGGTTAGGGGGCCATGCAGTTTTTCCACTGTGTAAAACTGACTGACAGCATCGGAGTCAGTCCAGTTCTTGAAATATAAATGAAAAACTATCGTACTCCTGGACACCCTGTTTGGACTCGTTTCCAACTTCATAGAAATCAACATTTGTATTTTGCACTGACGCAGTGGCTGTAGCGCTACTAACATCCTGTGGTGAGAATGAGTCACTGAAGTCAATGTGGTCGAAGTATCTCAAACAGTGATTTCCAAAAGTAACACATTTAACCCTCGTGCTGAGGTGGATTAACAACAGCAGTGTGTTTTGGTGTGAGAAAATTTTTCTCCATGAGAGTGTGAAAGGTTCCGCGATCTTGGTTTCCTGTCGATAAAGAGTCTGTTACTCATAAACACTGGGGGCTTCAGTGGGAACTCTCGGAACTCTCCTTAACGATTCAATCTTCAATCTTGGTGATGACTTTGTCAATTTCGACTAAACTTGATTTCCTTGCACACATAGTTGCAATCACGTTTTGTTGAAAACAGATTGTTATGGCCCCGATCAGTCACTAGCTCACAAGCTAAAGTTATACAAATACTTACAGTGAGCTATTAACATTGTAGAACCACTTCACGCCATGTCTTTTTTTTCTGTCCCACAGGAGAAGCATATTTTTATTGGGGGCGTTTTGGAGACATACGAGCAGCTGATTGATCAGATGCTGCAGCAGTTGCCCGAGCAGGTCGCCCCGACATCTACTGAAACAAAAGCTTCAGCCGATGCCTCTGCCTCTGCCTCTGCCTCTGCCGACAACGTGAGGACAGATCTGAACTTCATTCTAACGAAAATCCAACGCCTGAGGAGAGATCGGTACCAGGAGCAGACTAAACTCCTGCAGGGACTGCAGAACCTGAAAAAGATCAATGTAAGAACGAGACACAGAGAGACTAAAGTATCACCCAAATAAATTCAAGGCGAGTGTTTTCACTAACATATCATCTTTCTGAATCAGTTTAAGGACTTCGTCGTTCAAAGCAAGGCATTGTGGGAGCTGCCGTGGCTCTATGAGGAGGCAAGTTCTTTGCCCCACCAGAAGGAGATGCAGAGAAAGCGACGGCGAAGACGGCGACAAACCAGACGGGGGCGAAACCCAGCTCGCAACATGACACACAATTAAGCAAGAGTTATTTGGAAACAGCTATTTTGAAAATCGATGGAAAAGGTGTTTGTTTGTGAAATTTAAAATAAGTGAATACATACATTTGATTACTTTTATAAAGAGAACTATTGATTGATTTTTACTGCACTCTAACATTCAGGTCCAGCACTGAAGTAACTTTACTGCAGTATGAATACTGTATGCAGCTGTTTAAATGTGTACTTTTCAGATGCATTGAATATTTTCTATATTTATTATTTTTAAACTTATTTAAAGTATGTATTTAATTCTGCTTGACATTGTTGATGAATTATTTATTATGTATTTATAGAGTAATACAATGAGAGAAAAAAATAAATATGGATTTATCCCTATTTTCATGTCTTGTTTGGTTCTTTGATCAACAAATACAGGAAATGATCTTATGACTTGATCTTCATTAGTCGGTGAACAAAAGTTACTCCTAAAAGTTACTCAATGTGACAACAACATGTTGGCAGGAAAAGGGGCCGGGAATAATGCTTAACTTCTATGTTAATTATTGTAAGCAACATAATGTAGTTAAAGTGAGCGTCATCTGCATAATACGTGATCATAGTGTTCACAGATTTTACATAAGGTTTGACACTGAAGTAGACCAAATCCTGACAAAAAGACCTAACTTCTATGTTAATAATTGTAAGCAACATGGTGAGGTTATTTGAATAGGATTAAATATAAAATATTTTGGCCTTTACTGTACGTATAAAGAGAAGGGAGAATACAACAAGAAGCAGCTCCACGTAGTTAGACAGACTGAAGAGACTGGGCTCATCTTAAACGACCCCTTTTGCCGCCTACATTTATGACCTCACTTCCTGTGACATCACTTCTTGTAAATAGCTGCTCACCATCTTTTACAGTAACTTGCACCCCTTACCCACAATGCATTCTTAAATGCCCCATACGTTTGTATGGGGCAGTGACTTCTAAGAATCTGAGCTTAGCTTCCTCACAAATGTGCAGCACTGTGTGCATGTTGTTTTAAAAATGTACCAATATGTATATGAATATATCTACAATATATATATATATATATATATGCATGTGTATATGTATATAGATTAAAAACATTTCTTCAAAGAACATCTCCTAACATGCACCTCTTCTTTCTCTGTCACCTACTATGACTATAACTGTACTTTTACTATTTATTATTTATTATTATTTATTACTATTTACTATTTATGTATTTTTGCATTTTGTATGTTTACTGTAGCTTGATTGTTGATTGACAGACTCAAATTGTAAGTCGCTTTGGCTAAAAGCATCTGCTAAATGTATTGCAATGTAATGTAATATAAAAATATATATACGTAAATGTATATGTTCATGTCATGTCACATGCATACAGACACACACACACATATACATATACGTACATACACACACACATATACATATACATACACACACATACATATATATCAATATATATATATATAAATATAGGTGCAAACTTAATTTTCTTTATAAAATAAACATATATCTGCGTGTATATATAAAAGTAAAGTTAAAATAAATTTAGCAAAAATAAATAAATAAACAAAAGTACAAATTTGTTTCCATAAATTATGCATCAAAATTAAAATTCATATTTTCACTGAGAGTATTTTGTGAGAGTCTTTTACTCAAACCTTTTTTCTGGCGTGTGTGTGTTCATTGAGGGGGTGGGTTCATGCCTTGCTTAAGGGCACTTGAGCAGGGATGAAATGGAAACCGTGACTTTACACAGAAAAGCACAAGAGTCAAACAGCAACACTGTGGTTTAAATTGTGTGTGTGTGTTTGTGTTTGTGTTCGTTTCACTGTGAGTCAGCATTTTGCACACACTGCACAAAAGAGGAAATTGTCTTTGGCTTCAATGATGCTCAGTTTTTCTGTGCAGTTTTATTCTCTTGCTTTATGCAAAGCGACACTGTTCGTAGTCACTCGCTCCAGAGTTCAGAGAGAAATCCAATGATTTTATCTCACAGGGAACACGGGAGCTGCAGGTCTACCGCTGCCTCGTGTGGTCTGCTTGTGTCATTGACGTGAAATCTAACGTTTTTTAAACATTCAGTTCACAGAATGTTCAGAATGCGCACATTTGATGTATAGTATATATGATGTGAGACGGAATCAATACTTCTGTGGTGCAAAGACTCAGTGATACTTGTTTAAAAAAAGAAGAAGAAAAAAAGAGTTACCTGACTTGACTGGTAAATGTCTGGAGACACTGATCCTTATCTAAACCACCGAAACAAGCTCAACCACAAAGATAAAGTTTCAGATGAAAATATAGGTCAACAGATCATCCTGTTGTGAGAAAAAATATTTTTGGCAACATTTTTAATGCAAATTGATTAAGAACCCAGGTTACTATGTTTTAAGCTTATCTTTTTCTTTTTATCTGAAAATGTTGCAATGTATATTTATCATATCATCGGCATAAGTAAGAATCAATGCAACGGTGCATTCAAAAAATTGTTGTTCAGATTATTAAGCAGATCTTTTTCTGCTTGGGTCAAAAAGGGTTTGACACTTGCAGTGTTTTTTAAACTAACATATACATAGATATACAGAACCAGATATCAGTGATATAAACTTATTTTAAAACATTTCCGTAACCTATAAATTACCCCTCACTTCTACAGAAGTTGGCCATCGCAGTTAATTCATCAGAAGTATACCAGTCAGAGAGCTATGCTTCTGCGTGATGATTGGTCGAACTCTTAATGAAGTGGAAACACAGTTTTGAAAAAAGTAACTGGAAACGTTTCTTTGTATGTGGATTTTATGAGTAATGCTGCTAGGTGAGAGCATTCTTTCCTTTTACGTAAACTGAATACACATTTCAAATAAAATCAATTCTTAGCTTAGCATTATTATAATATTTGCTTGTTCTATTTGTAATTATCACTTTTTTATGTAGGGCAGTTTAGAAAAAAAAATATTTGTTTGCAGCACATACAGTAAATACTAACCCAGAACGATTTACTGCAGGGGTGTCAAACATAAGGCCCGCGGGTCCAAAGCAGCCCCCAAGGGTGTTCAATCTGGCTCATTTGATGAATTTTTAATGTTAAAACACTTCATGGTTATGATGTTTTGTAAATTGATATTTCATTAAATATAAATCATTTCTAATGTACTTCTTTGTATTTAAACAAAAGGGGAAAAAAACATTGACCTATTGTTATTTATAGGTTCTTATGTTATGATTGTACTGGTCCAGCTCATCTAATCAGGCTGTACCAAAATGAGTTTGACAACTGTACATATATACACTGTATTACTATATATACACAAACACACATATATACTGTATATTTATATCCTTATCTAGGTATTTAGGTATTAACCTGAATCTGATTCTGACTATGACATGACGTGTCCAGTGTGGGGAGATCTGATAAATATACTAGTGCGTGCTTAGTCACTTAGAGCTCCACAGACTTGACTGAAACCTTTAAAAGTTTAACTTCAAACTCTCTGGTCTTCACTCAGACTGCACAAAAATATTTCTTGAGTAACCTAACCCGATCTGAAAATGATTGAGCCTAGGGGGCGCCAGAAGGTAGGCCTGCAGAGAGGGATAAGAAAGCACTGTAAATGGCTTAAGCAGTCTTTGTTGCTATCTAGTGATCAAACTTTGCAACTGCACCTGGGGATCAGGGGTGACGCTGCATTAGAATGAATAGATTATTGTGATGTACAAGTGAATCTTATATCTGCACCTAAAAACATTTATTCTTTAAATGGGAAGGAATTTTATAAAAGATATATATCATTAAAACTTCTACTTCCTCTTCTTCTATTATAATTACTACAAATGATAATAATAACATTAATAAAGTCGAAATGTGCTTGTGTGAACATGAGTCCCTACTGGATGCAGGGAGAGATGCTAAAAATACACTAACCTCCAGCCTGACAAATTTGAATGAATGCACACACACACACACACACACACGGGTGGTTTTCCACCAGGGTAAAGTCAGATCTGCATAGTCCTGCTGCTCCAGGCCATATTAAATTACCATGAATGGTTACATATATTAAATTTCAATCAGCACATAATAAAATGTAACTAATTACTGAGGCAAAACAAACAACAACAAAAACCAAAAACAAACTCAAGTTCCAACAAAGGTGTTAAACATTTTTGCTAAAATAGCTAACTGAAAGCTACTGACATTAAAGAGAAAAAGTGAGAAAAAAAATGCAGATCTAAAATATTTAAACAATTAAATATTTTCCTCAAGGTGGCAGCAGTGGTTATTAAAAACTAGAAAAAGACGGGCCTCCGAGTAGTTCTCCGTTGCAATATACGTCACATTCAGTTCTCATTTGATTTAGATTTTAAAGGAGTAAATTTAGAGGTTACTTTTTGGACACTCGATACAAACGTAATATTTAATCAACTGCAGTTTATAAGAGAATGATTTTGTTGGTTATAAAACAGTTAAATTGATCAAGTATCCACTGTATAATCCGCTGCAGCGGGAGCCCCGCCAACAGGATTCGGACCAATCAGCCTGTTTTTCTGTGTACACGTCACAAAGATGGAGCGGAACAGGAAAAAAAACAAAAACTTAAAATGGTCGCGGCGTGTGACGTCAAATGCTGAAAAAGTTTTGCCGCTCGCTAATATAAAAACCACGGGTGTGCGAAGTTACTCCTAATTGGCGGCTCGACCCATTCCGGATAAATAGCTACGATAGGAAGGTAAGAGACCTTCTTCCTAACTGTTGGCGTTTTGACTGCGTGTATTAGCTAAATAGCTTAGCCTTCTCTCAAAGCTTTATTATTGTTTATTGATTTTGTTTACCTGAAACTAATTCATATCTCTGGGCTGGTTTTCTTAGGCAAGGCCCTCTATTCCTGTTATACTTTAATTTAAAAATTTCAAAATAAACTATCCTTAAATTTAATATACCGTAATTGCACTGTCCTTTGGGAACTTGAAGTGTAATGTGAAGGCACCAAAGAAAAAAAAATATAAAAAGTAGTCCAAAAGTCAGTGCTGCAGAGTAGCCAGTCACCACCAGTGCCATCTTAGAAAATATGATGATGAGGGTTACCAGTAGCCAGTCACCACCAGTGCCATCTTGGAAAATATGATGATGAGGGTTACATAAAGAAAAGCAGTTCATGTTGAATTAATCATGATGCACAGCGGTAGCCGTAGCCCGGCTAGCTCAGTCGGTAGAGCATGAGACTCTTAATCTCAGGGTCGTGGGTTCGAGCCCCACGTTGGGCGAAGAATTTTGGGCAGTGGTGGCTTAGGGGTTAAGGAAGCAGACATGGGTCCAGAAGGCTTCAGGTTGGAGTCCACCA